TATGACCATTATGCTTTACATCTTGACATCAGGCACAATGTGATTGGGCAGATGACCATTATGTTTTACATCTTTACATCAGGCACAATGTGATTTGGCAGATGACCATTTGCTTTACATCCTGACATCTGGCACTATGTGATTGGGCAGATGACCATTATGTTTTACATCTTTACATCTGGCACTATGTGATTGGGCAGATGACCATTATGTTTTACATCTTTACATCTGGCACAATGTGATGGTAGATGACAATTACGTGTATGTTTTACATCTTTACGTCAGATATTCCTATTTTATTTTGACTTTCATGTATATTCAATATTATTCTTTCCTTCAGAGGCACTGCACACTAGTGATCCCAACAGGGAGACTAGAAATCAGCCCAACACTGAGTTATCCAATGCCACAACAGTTGGTGCCACTGCCACCAGTGATAGAACAGCTCCAGGTCGAAGGGCAACCATAGGTCACCATGATGTCAGAAATCACAGACCTTGTATTGTTCAAAGGTCATCGAGTACCAGTGCAGCACATGGCAGGCAAGGGAGACATAATTCTGGTGATGGAACAGTTCGAAGGGTAGCTGTCCCACAGCATTCTAACCAACCACACAGACAAGGCAGACCTCCTACACTTGTTCGAGGAGGTTATCTACAGATTCATGTCAATGGTCCATCTATACCAGTCTACATCATTCCAGGTAGTAGTAATGAAGCCTTCATTGCATTGACTGACCTGCCGTCACTTCAGCTACCCTCATTGGACTCTGTTCCAGCCTATGTCTCTGAAATTGAAGACTTGTATCCCACTGATCAGCCCCCTCCATACAGTCCAACCCCCAATGAATATCACCCTCCCACATTCTCTGTAATCATGGAGTCATCATCTACCCCTTCTTCTGGAAATAGAAGTGGCCAACCTCAGAGACTTGTTCTGCTCCAGGAAGAAAGTGCTGACCAACAAAGGGAAGAACAGACTGAGACAGAAAATGGAATTCCAACTGAACCTGCTGAACCTAATGCGACACCTGCTAATAGCACCAATGAATCTAGTGTTAATGAAACTAATTTGGAATCATCAAATCAAGACCAATTGCAAGTCACCCAGTCATCTTCAGGATTGACACCTTCAGGATTGATATCATCATCACAGTCATCTGCAGGTAATTCAGAACAGCCGGCAGATCCATGCCTTTCAATAGGAGTTGATGTTGCCTTGTTTCATAATGACTCTGATCAGTCAAGGGAAGTATCTGAAGAACGTGCAGAACCTCCCACTGCTGTAGTCAGCAATACTGAAATAAATCATCCCGGAAGTGCCCAAAGTAGTCCACCCCAGGAAAGGCCAACCCTTCTTGAAGTGAGTGAAAGATTGCCAGCCTCATCTCTAGTTCAAGGTGCTCGTCCAAAGCAACGACAAAGTCAGCATGGTCTGGGAGAGGAAGCTTACTTAGCACACACAAGGAGCTCTTCACCATCTAGAAGTTCCCAACCATTAAGGAATCCCTCACCAAAGAGAGGGTCTTCACCAAGTAGAAGGTCTGCCTCTCCTAGCAGAAGACATGCTGCTGTGAATGAGATCCCCTCCAGGCAGTCAGCCAGTAACACAAGAGAGATGACAAGAGCTAGATCAAACTCCAGAGGCAGACAGAGACAGCTTCCAGACATTCTTCCTAGGACTGATTATCATCTGCAGGACACTGAATTCAGAAGTACATCAGGACCCCAACCAAGTGACAGTTCATCCAACAGATCTAAAGTCAACCATAAGAAGCATCACCGGCAGAAGTTGCACAGGATTAGGCAAGACCAGGAATCTCAGCCCTCTTCCCATAAGGAAACAACTTCACAAAAACCACCCCAAAATCCAGACAAACGAGAGTCTCAGACAGGCTTGAGGTCCAAAACCAGAGACAAACAAACCCAACACAGCAGTGATTCAAAGAAGACTACCTTTATGAAAGTTCACAAACATCACAGCAATTCTGCAAGGCCTAAATCAGGAAATATCAAGATTGAAATGAACATACCAGCCAACCCAAGCTGCTCTAGCACGGAAAGTTTGACCAATATCTTGACATTGGTGGAATCAGTACATTCATCAGTGAAGGCAAAGCCGAAGAAACCGAGACATCCTAGTAATGAAGAGAAAGTCAACCTAGTAGACAGTAGGGTGTAAATAATAGATACTGTGTGTTTGGTCTGGATGGCATATATGGCCTATTAAGGACTTTCCTCTGCAGTGATTTCAAGTTGTATGGAATCTGCTTACATGTGAACTCACCAAGTTTTATTTATTCAAACTGAATCATGCCCAACAGTAATCAGGGGAGTTTGCATTGGCCATAATTCCCTTTTATTGGATTTTTCGAATTTTACTCGGATGTGTGAAAATTCATCTTTTTTTAAGCTAATTTCAGCCTTTTTTTGTTTACATGTGGATGTTGGCCCTCAGTTTCAGCTTTTCTCGGCACCTGCTGTGTACCAACGTATGGGGACTTTTTACATTTCAGCTTTTTGCTCGCTGTTTTCAGCAATTTTAAGTGGCCACTCACACCCCTGTTTACTGCAAGGCAGCATCAAGGGTGTTGCTAGGTGTGCAGGGGGTCTTCTCCCTGAAAAACAAAAGCATGAAAAAGAAACAAAAAAGATACAAGTGAAGTGAGAAAAAAAAGATAAAAGGGCAATCAAAATCACCAGTTAGCTTGAAAAACCTTGAAATGGACCCCCTTTTATTGTTGACAGTTTATCAGTTCATTGTCGAAAAGTGGTTTGCCCTCTCTCCCAGAAATCTCCCCCACCTGGTAAAAAGTACTTTCTCTGAACCTAGAGTGCATCCTGGCAACACCCATGGCTACAGTTGTGAAATTCAAATATTTATCGATTTAAGGCTCCATTCTTACCTTAACAGTCCCCAATTCTTTACCTCTTGGAGGATTGTGGACTCTTTGAGGTAGTAAACTAATATGCCTTTATTGTACATTTTGTCTTGCTTGCCATTCAGAACCCTGACAGTTATGACTTTAGAGGCTATTTAGCGATGTACATGTACCAGTAAGTAATCTGTGCTTGGTATAATTAATTACAGACATGTTGGCTGTCACAAGCCTGGTTCCCCCTACCCTCTGACATGCAATGTGTGCACGGTAAATTATGCAGTACACTCAAGCAGATAATTTGACTTCAAAATTCAATGGAAACTAATTTATTTACAAATATACAAACCACAAAAACAATTGAATGAAGGGGGAGCAAAATACAGATCAACAGTTTAAAAAAAATGGGTTTCATAGAAACTAGAAGGCTGGTGGGCTGGTTAATAGTTACCACTGGCCCAAATTCGGACAGTTCAAAAAGAGAGTTGGTCAATTGTCCGATGCGCCGCTTTTACATGACTCTCAGCCGATCCTCAGCGAGGATGATGCAGGTGAGTCGGGGCTGGACTAAGTAGTCCAACAGGCAGGTAGGTAGCCGTGTCCCCCTGCGGCAGACTCGCTGTTCCTTTCCAGCCAATGCAGGACCTGGCTTGATTGTGTTTCGGTACTCAATGAGGTCCAATTACAGGAGCTCCGACTCCGTAATAAGGAGCCCTGAAATAATGAATAATCATACCCATGTTTGCTAATACACATGTACATCTTATGGCAAACATTTGTGCACCATTTGACCATATTACTAATTTTCCATACCCGAAAGGAGAAACTTCATAATTGAAACGGTCACTAAACATTGGCTTTTGAACTCCCCATTGTCACAGATATATAAAGTAATAGCACTTACATATACCAGACGGAACATAATGACTAAATATTAGAAAATAATTAAAAAGAACACTTACAGTATATCCTGAGGTCTTACAGCACACTGCAAATTGTCACAGCCTGTTTTTCCTCTTTAAACTTTTCTCCTGAAAATTTGGGGCAGCAAATCGCTCTCCCAACTTATGGCTACCGCCAACACTGGATTTCCAATCCACATTAACAAGGTTGAAAGCTTAATAAAATTCTGGCTTCAGAGCTATCGCTCAAACTTGTGCTATCGCACCACAGGCCTGTCAGTGTGTGTCACACAGAACCACACCCCAGTATTTAAGGCTACCACTGCTGGACAACACCTCAGTGAGCAGGCACCATAAAACACTATTCAGGTCCCCATGCCTGGTGTGTACCCATGCGAGTGTGAACCATACAGGACCGCACCTTACTTTGCATAAAAGGGCATATAGGGAAATTTGGCCAACGTGGCAACGTACAGTTTGTGTCTTTAAATTAATCAAACACTTGGCATAAAATATCACTGACTTGTCACAATACTCCCCTTTCAGATATTTTATGGCAAAAAAAAAATGGACTGATGTGATTTTTTAAAAATTCAGTTTTGAACCCTGCAGAAATGAGGATGTGTGCGCATACATGTACATGTACTGTTACTGTTGATGGCAATAATGATCACATGCAAGTCCTGCAGTGGGTTTCATGAAACTTTGCACTAGCCATAACCCCCGGTCTAACTTGATTGCCTAAGTTCTGCAGCATGCTTTGGGTCATTTCATAAAGGTTTGGGATTTGCACAACAAATGTTTGTATCATTTATGCCATTGCTTCAGATGTGGTAGTCACGGTTGTGGCAACAGGTGAATATATCCAAAATGAATGATCTTAATTAAATGGGTTTGTTGTGAAGCTCATCTCTTGCTTGGTTAGTCTGTAATTGAAGAATCAAGATGAGTAAACTGATTCACAGTTTTACTTGAAATTACTATTTTCATATTTCATAGTACTTATGAGTCCGGTCTACAGATGTTATGATGCCTTCAAGTTTAAGTAAATTTGAACAACAAATTAAAGGAATTTTTTCATTTTATTATATATTTCAAGATCCTTTTTATTTTGTAAGATGTATAAATTAACTTGATAATTAAATGAGGTTTTGATCGCTAGAAACAGTTACACAGTACTTATGAAAAGAGCCTGATATAGAAACTTTGCGTGATGTGCCTGCACAGTAAAGGGTATTGAATTCTTTGTATTTATTATTCGGTTTCTTCGTTTGTAAGTAAGAAGTATTTTACCTGATTTACGTAATCACTAAAGTTTTTTGAATTTCTATGAAGTTTGTATTATTTCAGTACAATTCAAAAGGACATTTAAAAGGTGGAAGTGAAGCTGCAATGAATTTTGCTTGGACACAATTTTTCTGCATCTTTGTACCTTCCTTCGATGTATGAAAACTCGTACACACTCCTATTTGGTTAAATGTATTGAAAAGTGCACACTTTTAAGTATCAAAATTATCCATGCTTTCCCGGACAACTCAGGGCACTGTTGCTGTGAAGACATCTAGGGAAGACATGGATCAGTACATTTCTGTTCAACATGTTGAAACTGTGAACCCAGAATTTACTAACTTTACTAAGAGAGGGATTGATTATTTCTTATTGCTATGCACATAAACAACAATTAGGCCAGGAAAGTCTGCCAAAACGCAGGACTTTTCTGTGTACAAACCAGTGTAACATTGAGGCTTCTTCCTGACACATCACAGTTTTGTTCATGAATATGGAAATACTTCTTGGCATAAAACCAAAAAGACTTTAAACCACCCTTTAAAATAGTGAAACCAAAGTTGAAAATAAGGTTTTCTGAGGCACAAAGGTGCATTTTACAGATCTGTAATCAAAAACATTGATTGGGGCTACCTTTTACTAGAAAAGGACTTTCTGCTTTTCATGCTGATTATGTTGACATGGTTCTAGCTTGAATTTGGTGACATTTTAATTTCTAGCCTTAGTTGCTTCAGCTTTTTGAATTTAGGGGTGCCCTTTTTTCCCACTCCTGTTGTCTTTTACTAGTTATTCTTTAAGTTTGAAATGCATTTTAATGGGTTTTTCGTGGGGGGGGTTGTTACTGTGTAATGTATTCATGTATTTCCCCATTAAACAAAAGTTATTTCTAAAACAAAAGTTATTCCTAACACCTTTCAAATGGCAAAATTTGGCCATTTACAAAAGCCATGTTAGGTTTTCTTTGCAAATGTATATTGTGTGTACTATTTGTAATTTATGCTAAATTAGTTTCATATTATAGAACTGCTGCCAAAGACATTAAATCTTGAGAGGTCAACTGTATGAATTGGGATGTGTGTACATCACATTGTTAAATTTGTCCCAGTTGCATTTATTTAGCAATAAACTTAAATTCAAAGGATCAAGAACTTTCAAAATTTTTGGTGTCTAAATGTAGTTTTTAAAAATTTAAACTTTATTGAGTTTTAAAGTCTGCTAATGTCCACTGATGTCATTCTCAATATATAATATGTTCCATATGAATGTTGCTGAACATTGTGAACATGAAAAACTTTTTAACAAATGGAAAATTTATAAATGTAATTGTGCATGTATCAATTTGGGAAAATCACCTTACCAAATGTGTGTTGCAAATCCTTTCAAAATCAGTGCAATTGAAGTGAAGGATCTTTGTATACCTTCCAGACTTCACCTCTTTGAAACTTATGTTTGTGTTCATACATTTCAGTTGATTACCTTTCATATGCACAGGTGAAACACGTAGTGTGGCATTGGAGAAGAGCATGTGTTATGTGCCCACGTCCACGTGCACAGTGAGCGGAACTTGCTGGATTGGTCTATTTCTTCAACATTGTCCATTTCTTTTCTTTGTCAGAAAAATAAGAAGCCCAACAAAAAGACAAAGATTTTATTTCACCTTTGAAAAAATGAAGGAATTTGTGCCAAGAAGTAGAGAGTGGCTGAACCAGTGGTTGATTTGGCCATGTCATCCATATGTTCACACCTAGTCTTCCCTGGCATTCCATTAAGTACAACCCTTCCTTTAAATTGCCAGCTCCCTGAATTGCTGATACTGGTTCCTTCTACCACCACAACCTTCTTTTATTCCTCATACGCTCAGATGTATAACTTGACCCCTACACTCCTCCAACCTTAACAGGTCCCCCCCCAGGTACTTCATAGAGAATCTTTGCTGTCTTGTGGGTTGCAGCATTCTGTCTTCCTGTATTTATTATTGCCACCTTTGGCAGAAACTGACTCACCACAATGGGGAAATAAGCTGGAAGATTGTGTACATCATCACCTTACACATCTGATTTGTATCATCTGCCAACATTGTCAACTAACCCACTGTTACTGCAGTCCTTTCAACATCCCTGTTGTGCAGCTGGAGGTCTTTAAGTTCTGATGCGCCAATGATGAGGGTGTGCTTGATTTTGTACACTCTTGATACCCAAGTTCAATACGTGTGCATACAGACATGCTCAACTGAGAAAATACATGTGTATGGTTTAAAACCTGGAATACCAAGTTTTTAGAAGACCTTTGCTACATTTCATACTAATAGCGTGAATTTATTTGCTTGTATGTTAATAGAGCCAGTCAGACCATTCTCTGGTTTGTGCCACCCTAGGTAATTCCTGTTTTCTTTAAAATGATGGTAGGATGGATTTTTCGCAGAAAACTTAACTACTTCAAAAATGACTGAAATACGAAAATAAACTAAGTTATGACAAAAGCTTTCTTGTAAAATGATACCATCAAGTACTTCTCAAGTGATAAGGGCAACTTTCAACAGCAGTTAGACTGGGGTCAAGTGACTCATAGAGGTTGGGGGAAATAATTTTAAGATGGGGTTCTCTTCTCTGGTTGAATCAGATCCTGAATTTGGCTGAAGTTTCTAATTAGGCTAAGTGTGGTTAGATGTGACTAAGTCATTACAACAGGCTGCTGCCAAAATGACTAATGCTGTCCAATCTTTATCTCACTAGTGAGGAATAGAGTCAGTGGACATTTCCCTGAAAAAAGGGAAACCATCCAGCTATCTAAGGCTAGTTTGCAGATGCATCTGAAAATTGAAGCTGTATTTCATTTGCTTCCACTTGAAACAAGATCACATTCTCAAATGAAATATGTTGTAATTATACCATCTTTGGCCACTTTGAGACTTACATGTACTTTCTTATGAACAGGAGGTTGCACCAGATGCACTATTCAAAATTAGCTCTTCATACATGTACATAATAAACAGTGGAGCCCCCCCCCAAAAAAAACCCACTCACAAAAAGACAAGTTTTCTGGAGGAGGGTAAAGTTGGCACGGAAATGTGAACTTTTGCTTGTTTGTTTTCAAAGTTCCAAAGGACAACTTTTGGACTGGGCCTCATCTAATAGAAAAATCCTTGTACTTCACTTAAAATCACATCCGTTTTCACAATTACAAGTATCAGAATCAGATCTCTCAAAGCAATTAACTTGGTTAAAGACATTATTTAATTCATTAAGATTTACTTAAAGCCCGACATAATGCATTGAACATACAGATAACCAAAAAAGAAAAAACAAAATAATGCTTACCATTTTCACATTTTTGGTTACATAAATGTTTTAAAAAATCAAACAAATTAAATAGTGCACCAACTCTCCACTGCGTAATCTACCATGTGTTGTGAGTTATATCATTAAACTGGGAACAGCAGTAAAAGCAATTACACACAAAATAGAACAAATTAGTCCCTTTCCCTGTAGCAATTCAGTTTTTTGGTTAAATTGTACAGCTTTCTTCACTTCACACAACTGAGTTGAGGTTTCTGGGAAATACAACTTACAAGCAAAAGTAATCTGAAGACAATTACTGACATACTGCTTTATGTAAATGATTCTTAACTGCACAAAGTATGAAAAACCACCTATCTGTTTTTATTTAGGCATACAGAGTGCATGTAGTACAATTCTCCACTGGTTTGAAGTTTTTGTTGCTGTATAATTCAAACAAAATTCTGATGCTATAAAGAGTCTACACACATTAAGAATGCTTAGAATCAACAGAATGCTTTCAATGTAACATTGATAATTCCTGGAAATAAGCTGACACTTTGTCATGCAACTGTTTTAAATGACATCTGGTTTGCAATCACATATGCTAACGGTTCTGTTTTAATTAGTAATTGGAGTCCTTTGTCCAATGACCACAATTTTCATTTACTTATAAATTCTAAGACCTATAGGCAGGTTTCTGTAATTCTACACAATTCCAGAATCACCAGCATGAACAGAGAAATGACCACAGTTGTAATTAAGCTGTGTGATAAAAGTTGACAATTCTTATCAAGTGTAATCTGTTAAGTGAGAACAAAAGAATACCTAAAATGTCTTTTGGGTGTCTCTTACTCCTACTATTCAGGAGTGCATTCAAGTGTTTAGTATATTGCTACAGCATTGTATACAAACTGAAAACAATAAGACTAATAAAGGAGGATGGGAAATGGACAGACAGGACATTTATTCTTATGGTCACATTCAACTTGGAAGCACTATGCACTCAGGACATTACCATTTACTTGGAGTAAATAAGAAACAAATGCCAAGCTTGACTGTCAGGGAAATGACTTTGTGCATCATTTTTATGAGTATTTCTAGTCTGAAACACTTCTACTGATACATTTGGACAGAATGGATTTAATCTGATTATTCCAGTAGCTGTAATTATTTCTTGAACTTATACTCACTTGGTTTATTAGTCAACACTACTTTATTAACAACACACCAAACAAAGCCAGAACAAGTCAAAACATTTGATCTCCATGCAAGCTACACTGGAATAAGTATTTTGTTTGTCAACCAGGAAATGTAAATTTAAATTATTCAACCACTGGAATATAAGTGGATGTGGAAAGAAAGATAAGTGTAACAAATATTTCATATACTTGTTTCACAAAATGGGAAGCAGGAACACTTTGCAAAGGCTTTAGGTCAAAGTATACAGGTACATGGCAGCACAATTCAGGCAAGTTTTAAAAATTTCTTTCCCATGATAATACAGGTAACATAACATGTTCGTGGACATTTAGTAGAAGTAATTAACGTGATGCTATTACATGTAGATGTACACAGAATTAGAGCTTCGATGTAACTTCACAGTGTCACATGGATCTGATGTTAAACTCTGTTTAAAGTTTTGGGACGTATCATACCATAACCAATACAGAAAGTGAAAAGTTCACCCTTGAATTTCATTTTGACCATTGAACATACATGTACAGTGTACATGTATTCAGCTCCACTTAAGTTTGCTATGGCCAAAACAAAAAGAAGAAAAATCAATATTAAACAGCTAGGCTTTCTGATATTAATTGTGTATTAGCATGATTCTAGATTAGCATAATATCATACAACTGTTACTTTCTTTTCTGTAAATTTAACTTTGATCCATTACATACCACAATCGCATGCACTCAAATGAGGTTAAAATTAAAATCTCAAGTATGAAACACTTTAATATACACGTACATGTAAAAGTACTGCCTGAAGGGTTGATTGGGGGTGAAGAAATAAGGATACTTCTTACAACTCTGAGCATCATCAAGTCTTAAGTCTGATTTGAGCATTAGGTCACATCCAATCCTTGAGTCTAGAGGTAGGTCTAAGTTCAGCAAATTACAAATGAGTGGCTTTGTTTCAACAACAAACATGGCAATACATGTTGCTCTGGAATTTCATCTTGGATGCAGCCCAAGATTCCAAGATTTTCTATTCCTAATGTACTGTACAGCTTGCCCATAGCAGCTTCTAAATGTAAGCATTGGTTGGTCCAGGAAATTGTGGCTGGGGGAACATGAATGTATCAGGGAAACCATAAACCTGTTTGACAAGCTTTGGAGACTATTCCTTAATCAGTGTGAACCACTATTGTGGGCATCTGTGCTCATTATCTTCAATCCATTACATGTATATCCTTATTATTACATACACTGTAGTGTGAACACTCACTACAAAAACCATGCAATAAGCTTCATGTCTCACTGCACACTTGTAAGGTCTGCTTAATCTGAAAGAACATTACAAAGCTCAAGCTATTAAGGCAGTATGGCCTGAACAAAATCTGAAGGTTTAAAACAGGTAAAAGGAACATCCTGAACTATACTCAAAAGGGACAGTTCAAAGCAGTTTGAAGGTTGTGACAACATTCTGTGGGACAGTAGTACTCCAACCCAACCATACCTGTCACATTTCAAGAGATACATGAGAATGCATATTACATAATTAAACCCGAAGCATGTGCATTGAGAGACATCTAATAACATCCTTCAATCTAACGCATTCAATAGCTGTGTTGTCACTGCAATGGACATGTATCATCCAATGTAACTTTCGTTCAAATCATTTTCATGAGTAGTCCCCATGCATCTGCCATAATGAAACACTGCACTAGACCAATAGCAAATTTCTTGTAATTCAAACTGAGACACTAAGCCTCACAGTGTATGTAAAGTAAGCTGTACAATACTGAATCTATCTCAGTCATTACAAACAAGGTCTTCATTTTGGCAGTTGAGATGGTAACAGTGTCTATCTCTCCCACCTTTAAGCTGCACATCAGTGACGAAAATGAAGATCCTAATAATTTTAAGCATTTCTAAACCCAACTATGAGTACCATCCGACTGTTTATAAAATGCCAAGAAATAAACAGGTTTAAATAACCAATCATTGCATATCATGCTGAAGATATAAATTTCAATGCTACACTGAGTTACATGTACAGGGTATGTGATTCAATGGTTGCACAAAGAAGGGGGAACAGTCTCTCATAAATCTTGGAACACCGGTGGTAGAGGAATACTTGTTATGCAAAGAACATGCTGCAAATAATTACTGGTACGTAAATACAACAGAATAATCCCAGGAAAAAAATGGTTTGCTTTTTTGTTGAAAAAATACTAATTAACAGCCCAAGTTATTGTGACAGACAATATAACCTGCTGATAGCATATCCTGAATACATTGTTTAAATAATGAATGCTAAGCCACATAATTTTCTAGTTCTTTGTCCACCTTTTATGGGAACATGACAAAATTCTTGAAGTGTAACCAACTTTACATGTATGTCCATCAAGCATTCTTTTTTCACTTAACCTGCAATCTTTCAAATGAATTGCTAGCCGTTTCAAATTTGCATTTTATAAACATGAACTGATCTATGGCTTAGCCACACATTTAAACAATTCCTTAAATGTTGTAACAAACTCTGACTTGAAGTCAAGAAATCAGCAAGTCTGGAGAAATAATACAGACAAAATTAGTAGAGGTACAAATATCACAGCAGGTGTAAAATGCTTGGGCAATAAAGGCGTGAAATGTACATGCACTCGTCTTGTCAATAACCTGTGATGAAAAGGTTATGATACATTGTACATTGCGTAAATATGCACATTCTCAAATTTGGTTGAGCTTAACCAATTATAAAAACAAAATATGCAAAAGAAAGAAAAGCTCACATGTATGTTGGTAAGGGGCAACATTCATTTTTTACATTTGCTGTCAAAAACACTGAATAAATGATCAATACCCGCCCGAAAAACAGTGAAGGACAATAAGTGACTGCAAGTGACAGCAGAATCATGGTACTGTTTATCTACACCTATCTGAATGTTATGAACGTTATGGACAATGAATCAACCTTTCAATGAAAGTTTCTTACACTGCGTGGTAGGAATACTAACAGAAATTCCAATCAGTGAGCCCCAAAATTTTTGCAACAATGGGTTGTTTTTGATCGATTCAATAAATGTTCAAGAACACTACGATCTGCTTGAAATTTGACAACAGGTGCATTAGAGCCTATTACCCAAGCATTTCACAAACTGATAAGTGATCACATCTTTTTCTGTACATGAACTCTAATCTAACAGATAAGAACAGCTACTCAAATCATTACATTGCAGCAAGGTAGACACTCAGCTTAACACTGTCAAAAGATTTTTTCCAACTACAGATGAAGATTTGTGCTGAGAATAATGATGACATAGATGATAAAATGACTAAGAGGAAAATGTGTTCCCTGCAACGATACACGCTTTGATCTATCAAAATGCTGCGTCATGTGCGCAGCGGAAGGGATATACTATGTTATCTATAATTTACATATATCTGCACAAATTACAGTTTCTGGATTTTTTCACCCACAATGACTGGATTGTTTTTCCTTATTTCCTCCTGGCCGTGCAACCGGTAATCAAACTGACAATCATGTTTGTCTGAGTAGCGATGTATACTGCAAAAGAGGCCCCCACATCGACATTCAAAACCTGAAAAAGCACAATGCAAGAAAAGTCTATTAGACATCAAGCCATATGTACATAATATATCAATATTCACAGTGGCCCTTGAAGTGGTAAAGGGTACCGGTAGCTCTAAACCTCTCTAAACATTCTTTTCAGTTTCAACAAGTGTGCATTGTACCGTTACATATACCTGCTCAAGTAATGTCAATAATGTAATAATTTAGCATTAAGACGAGCCCACAATTACACATGTGCAACCAGTATACCCTATGCACAATAGAAGATCTATGTATTGGACAAAACAGGGGAACCTTTCAAGAACCTTACCCAGTAATAAAAAGTTAATTGGTCAGCAACAGTAATGACTGCTCACTAGGCACGCTAGGAACATAAATTTCTCAATTTGTCAGCTGATGCACTACATAAGCTTTATACCTTACATGTAACAGTGTCTTTCTAACAAAGAAATGTAGCCATGTTTGTTGTTATATAAAAACAGAAAAATCTAAAACCGTCCCATTCCACTCTTGAGGATCTTACCTGTAAGGCCAACTTTCTTACGGCAAGTTGCACATCTGTTCCTTTTCTTTTTGCCTTTGTCTGGACTATCAGACCCACTGGGGGAATCTGATGAGGTGCTGGGTGATGGACATGATGGTAGTTCCCCTTCATCTGTAGGACTTTTTGCCGTAGCTCCTTCTATTTCTGGGGCTTGAACTCTCTCATTGGCATTGCTGGCTGTAGTGGTGAGAGCCGTTGTGTTTGTAAGGGTGGTGGTGAGTAAGGAATTAGTGTCTGTGTTGCTGGAGCGGATCAGACTAGATGAGGCTATGGGAAAAAAAGAGGTTTAGAGGAACACAAAGTACAGTAAGTCTGGGCAAGATTAAGGAATGAATGGAAGAGGAATGGTTATCAGGGGTGAGGCAAATCTTATAGGCGACAGTGAAGCACTGTTTCTATCACAACCGCCACTTATTGTTGTTTACACAGGTCATCACTGTTGTTTGACTATTTCCTTTTTTTTTTCTTTTTAACTGTGCCAGTTTTGCTGTGAGTTTACATTATTATAATAATGTCGGCAGATGAAAAGAGGTCACCTCCAAAGAAGAGGTACATGTACATAAATCTCTCGCTCTGAATACAAGATCAGGATTCTATTTTTTGAGCAGGATGTCCAGCATCAGCACAAAGATACGATTCATTCTGCATAAACAGCTCATGAATTCTGCACAGCAATGGGAAGAGACCCATACGGTGCATACATGTACCTATACAAGTACATGTGGTTTTGGATATTACCAGTCACCAGGTCACAGAATTTGAGAGCTTGCTTGAATTTTTCAGAAAGACCTGTACCAGTACACATATCACCAATTAAGATGACACTTCCTACCAAAAGCCAAGTTAGTTGAATTTCTTCAACTTAATATTTTGATGTTGGAGAAAATTTCAGTTATAATGCATTGTTAGGCATTCCACATACATGTAATTATGGTCCCTAATACTTGTACAATCTATTATCGTGCTAACAAACCAATTGTTGCCTGCTTTGATAGGGTCCATGTGTTTTGCACATGTACATGTATGTTCCCGCAACATGCAGAGTTGCTGACTTGAGTCATGCGACTTGGACTCGAGTCAGACTCGACTTGCTATTTTTGTGACTTGTAACTTGACTTGGACTTGCAAAAAAATGACTTGTGACTTGACTTGGACTTGCAAAAAATGACTTGTTACCAACCCAAGTCAGACGCTGATCGACCGGCCCCACGTATTTTTATAACTCGTAACTCCGTAGTTGACGCCTGGTTCTTTTTGCTTATTACAGCTGGACAAAATAATGTGCAGCTTGACTTGTACTTGGACAAAAAGACTTGTGACTTGACTTGTGTTTAGACCAAATAACTTGTGACTTGACTTGTAACTGGACCTAATGACTTGTGACTTGACTTGGACTTGCAAAAAATGACGTGCTGTGATGTATATGTACCGGTATGGTTGCCATTGTTGTTTACATTGCTTGTCACTTTTTCTTTTCTTTTATTGATCCAATTTGACACAAATGTACCAGTATACGTCAACAGAGTTGACATCAGGTCACTTCCAATAAAGAGGTTTCTCTCTCGTTCGAAACACGAGATCAGAAATTTGATTTCTGAATAGGACAACATAAGTGATTACATGTATGTTAAGCATTAAGTTCATAAAGTACACATACTTCTTACCATACATGAACAATGTTCATACAAGTACATGTACATCAATGTACATTTTGTACATGGGAAAACACTGTGCACGTACATGTGCACTACGGAAAGTGCATGTCAGGGGTCGAAATTAATTTCAATTACGTGTACTTGGTGGCCAGCAGGGCCAGTGGAAAGGCAATTTAAACTAGCTCTCCAAAACATTTGGTGCAGAAATTGGTACACCCAGTACATGTAAATGGTAAAGCCTATTGTACATTGTTATGATTGTATAACACATCATCATTCCTGGTAATTAATTTTTGCCAAAGACTAAAAGTTTACTTATGCCTAGCTTTGGATCATACAATACACATGTACATGTACATTATACATGTATGTACCGAACCACTGTTGTGGTTATTGTCCCGAAAGAATGCATACATTGTACATTCAGTATGTTGCATTTGAAAGTTCACGCTGCGAAAAGGAATGGGAAAAAAAGCGAAAGCAATTTGTATTTGCATTTCGCCTACAACTTTCCCCCTGCGAATTCGCAGCAAATCTGATACGAAAGGGTTGAACGACATGCAAAAACAGTGCAAAAATCGTGCGAAAACGGTGCGAATCTTTTGTGAACACAGTGCGAAACATTTGCGAAAACTTTGAGAAAAACAGTGTGCCAAAACAGTGTCAAAATTTTGCAAAAGCGGTGCGAAAAGTTCCAAAAATCATGCGGAAACTTGCAAAACGAGAAGCATTGTGCAGCGAAAATGCTCAACACGTGCCACACACGCACGACTATTATGCAGTGAAGAGTCCATTACGCAGGCTGTGCTGCGCTTGGGGCTGGTCGGGGCCAACTCTCCATGTGCAGTGTGCTGTTGTAGTCTAGTAGCGATTTCCTTGGCCGGTTGTTTTCTTGGATTTCCATAAATAAACACTCGTCAATGTCGGAGACTAAATGTTTAAAAAGTTGTCTGGATGTTGAGTGATTAAACAGGAGTCCCAAGTCATAAAGTCAAATGTGTGTATTACCACAACGTAACTTGCTCAGCTGTGGCGACATGGGTTATTTGCCCACTTTTTATTTATTCTTGTGGTGTACATATAGTTTGGCACACAAAAAGTCAACATTGAAATACTACATGTAGTATTTTGTTACCGAAGGGTTTCTTTCGATCGACAAATAAAATCAACTGCTTAAATTGTACGTGTATCTTCATGTACATGTAGCAAATGTTGTCTTCTCGCCGATTGTGTTCGGCGTGACATATCGGTTCTGTTTTCACTTGGGTTTCTGATGACGTGTTACTTTCTGTGGTCACATGGTTATTGGAAAGAGTCAGCGATTGGACTGTCCATGAATGGGCATGCAGTAGCAGTCCAGATGTCGCGGTACATGTACATGTAAGTGGAGATGCAGTTTGTGCTTCGCAATGTGGTGCGACATGCACAAGGTCCGGTGGCGGTTTTTAAAGAGATTTGGTAATATTTTTTGATTGGCGTCACGAAAACGATAGAAGGCATTTATTCCAAAATCACGGTACATACATGTAATACAATACATGCCAATACATGTAAACGTAATTCACATGCATGACAACATGTGGATACATGTACATGTGCATATATGCGGTATGTTGAGCATCCATCCAAGTGGGTTAATTTAAATGTTTATAAGACATGTAAGAGAGCGCTACCGGTATATAATGGCAATATACTGTAATTCAGCTGTTTGGTGTTCAGTGCTTGTCTCCAACCTCCACCATAGCCAGCTTTGATTTTGCCCGTCGCATTGTATTTTGATCAAAACCAAGAAACATACTGTATTGAAATTTTAATGCTGTCTTCCTCAAGTAATCTGAATATTCCTGAGAATTGAAAAACTTTTCTCTCAGACTGATTTTCCTCCACTTTCCATATTCAGAGATGCGCATGTTTGAAACCACAGAGAAATAAAACTTTCTGATGTCTACATGTACATTTACAAATACTACTTAATGAAGAAAGCTTGCATAATTATTTCCCCACTACCAGAGAAAATCTGTGAAAATCTTTTCCCACTTGTGAGAAAAAGTGTGAAAATCTTTTCTCACTTGTGGGAAAATCTGTGAAAATCTTTTCCCACAAGTGGGAAAATCTGTGAAATTTTTTTTCCCATTTGTAGGAAAAAGCGTGAAAATCTTTTCCCACTTGGGGGAAAATCTGTGAAAATATTTTCCCATTTGCTTGAAAAGGTGTGAAAATACCGGTATTTTCCCACTTTTGGCACACTTTTTCACAATTTGTGAAATGAAAAGGAATTCCATGGGAAGAAAAAATGTGAAAAAAATTTCCCATTTTGGTGTCAACTTTAATCACAATGTACTGTAAGTAGGCTTACATGTACGTGCATTAACATTTTAGTTGGTGACTGATTACAGAGTTGAAATTTTACACATGTACAAAACAACAGAAACCAGTGAATTTTGTGTGGACAGTAGAGGGTGTACAGTAGGTCAGGGCCAGGGTAATTCAGTTGCCTCTCATAAAGAACACTGTAAAAAAAAATACAGATACAGGTATAAAGAACAGTATTTGAGAATCCCAATTTCTTGACTTGTTATGTTTTTCTTTGTTTTTTCATTCCTCTTACAACAAAAGTCCTGGTTATAAAAAAAGTTACTTGTCTGGTCATCGTAACAGCACTCATATTTCATTCCCGCTACCCAGCCATGGCAGTCAGTGCCCTTACAATTGGCCAGGGTGCCCTAAAAATTTCCACTTTGTCTACGGCTTAAGCTGGCTGTGTGTCCCATCCTTCCTGGTAGTGGTGCCCTGACAAAATACATGTACCCTATATTTCCTGTAAGTTTCCGACTTTACATTCATGTGTTGCAGTCTACTGGTACACGTTCGTCTTCATGCCACATGGCTGCACGGCCAGGGCAGCCAAGCTGGCAGACCTGACACACCACTCCGCAGCCCCATATCGTGAGAGGCTTGCCTGCGCTATGATTGGCCTCAATTTACAATATAGTCAACTCTGACTGAGTCGACATTGTGTAATCTGTCATATCGTCCAAGTCGGCCGTTTGACAAAAGTCCTGATCGTCTGTAATGCATTTCCATTGAAAATTTCATTTGTAAGTCGGTATTTATAAGTCATCATTTCATATACATGAATGTCGACATGTTTTTCTCGGTCCCTTTTCCACAAAACCACAAAAATTCCTTTGTGTAAGTCGGCATTTTAAAAAAGTCGTGCTTCGGTATTGGTTTCCCTCGCCACAGTTGCCAAGAAGTGTCAAGTGACAAGTCCCATGCGTGCACGGCCAGCATGAGTACATCAATACCAGTAGCCCCTCTAGTGCTACACACATGCGCTCAGTCCATTTTGGGGGTCACCCAGTCATGTTCCCTGCCCAACGATTCCCGAACGACCCTTGATAATAATTCCTCAGGTAGTCAGAATCATCAGGTCTGGTATCCAGACTATATGGAACGAACTTGACCAATGCGCCTGAGTGGATGAGTATACACAGTTTTCTGTACTGTTACTGTATCAGGTACATGTATGGTACATGTACCAATTTGCTGGGATTGACCATGGAAGTAGAAATACATGTAAACCAGGGTAAATCAAAGCCACTGAATTAGTGCAAGGAATCATAATGTACATACAGTAATGATTAAATTGAAGTACCCACTGTCCGTTGAATGTTTACCCCAGCATTTCACGTCCAGTTGAATTTCGTCCATGTTCATTGTACTGACTAGGTTTAGTGCCTTCGTCGTTTGTGAAGCAGTTTACATGTGATTCAAATGGTTTTCATTACATTTCATTAAGAATGAACTTTGCTCAACTCGTACCGAAATGTACCCGTGCAAATAAATTTGTGACCCAATGGTCTCGTCCCCAGCTACATGTACATGTACATGTACCATGGCTACAGATAACTAATTTAGCACGTTTACACGCAATTGTCATGGCTTTAAATTTCGTGAATGACTCTGCGTACCGTTATTTTAGTTGATTCAGATTGTGATTAACTTTTATATTATTCTTTTACAGATACTGGGATAGATGTTTCTACAAGAGATACCATGTACCTTCAACTCGGACAATTGTGGAGAAGATCACATACATGTAGATCTTTTTGCTGTGTCAGTTGTTGGCAATTAAATTTTGCCATTTGAAAGTAGTACCATTGGATTTTTTTTATTTTCAAGGGGCAAAAACGTACATGTATGCAATTTATTTCCTTCCCCATTGCTATTGGAGTTGGAGTGACTCGTGTTATTTTTAATTCTAAAATGTATGAATTAAAAAAAGGAAAAGAATGAAAGACACTGGATGTCTTTGTCATCAACGTCACTCTTTGTTCAGGAGTGTTAGTTTTGAAAAGTTTCCCATTGTTTACAGTACATGTTCTCTGAATTTTTCCCACTCTCCACTGGAGCAAGTGTCCAAAATATCAAGAAAATGAAAACAACTGTTGAAGACTGAAGCTACATTATAGTTTGTCAAATTTCCACGAGCAAAATTGCATCACCAACGTGGCCTTGTGTCGTCCTCGAAATGTTTGCCCCGTCTGTCATGCACTTAAAAAACATGGGGTCATAAGTTGAGGAGAGTCTGTAGTTTACATAGTATTTTTTCATTTTTTTTTCCAATGCACCTCAGCCACACAAATTATCGCTGCTGACATAGTAAAGGTTTTGACTTCATCCTCAAGAGCAAATGAAGCCGCTAATTAACTGGAGACTTTATTGGACAGACGTATTAAAAACTTTGCTGCCTTTTCTCATTGTTTTTGTATATTCCCATGCAAACTTCAAACACGTAAATGTATAAAAAACTCATCCTCCATATAGCAGTACATGTAGGTTTTCGTTCTTAATGCAAACTGAAAGTGCTAGCAAGGGAACCAATTTGGATTTGTTTTATAGGGGAGTAGCGTAAATCATGGACTGCGTAAATCATTCTACAACTGCGTGGCCTTGGGGCCTGGTGGTGAGGGCATGCTCACCAATCCCTATCAAACCATGCAATACACTGATTGCGTCCGCTAAATCACGTGACCTATAGTGGGTGTCAACTCCACAAGCAACGTGTGTGACAGCAAACTTAGCTATAGTGCCAAGCACACCAAGATCCGAGTACAGTGCCTAACGTTGGCTTTATTTCAACACAACTGATCAATTTTTACAAATCCACCAAGTAGGCCTATAGGAAAATGACAGAAAATCATCTACATGTAACTGCATAATATATGGCAAAATCCTAAATACACACTTTTCACCCTGAAAATTGAACCTTTCAATCTTTTAACCCCAAACCTGACAAACATTACAAATGATTTCAGAGCCTGATTTCGGGTCATTCCTGAAAATTTCAATACAAATGATCAATTTTTACACATCCAAATATAGGAAAATGATAGAAAATCATGTTATTGATACGAGGGTTTAGCGGAAACTTCGAGCGAGTACGAGTGTGAGGAGTACATCAATTTAATCATTACTGTAGGCAATACATGTGTACGTGTAAGGCAAAAAGATGACTTACAACACAAGCTGGCAATCGCCTAAGTCGTCATAATTTCGTAAGTCCTGAGAGTGTAGACTTAGCCGGAGTTTACTGTACTGTACATGTACATGAACATGTATTTCGTTCTGCAGTCCAACATTTGGTGAACGATTATACACTGCAGGCACGTATATTGTACAGGTACGGTGCTCAGGGCCGGCCGGCCAGCCAACCTAGCCCGCCATGTGTGTAGCAACCCAGCTGGCACATGCATGCCATGCATGGGCTTAGACTGTGTCCAAAACGGGCCTCGTACAGTACCGGTAGGTCATTTGTCCCCCTAGCTTCAGATTGCATATGCATGCATGCAGCAGACAACTACGTATCTGATTATTGTGACATAATGGGTTGGTCAACTTCACAGTGCAGGGGAGGGGGTTGGGTTGGTAAGTTTACGCTGTGCAGTCAAAATAGATGCGTCAAAATAGAAATAAAATATGCTTGATTAATCTATGGTCTAATTCACTGGAATTATTTTTTATGAATTAATTTTCTCTTAATTAAGAAATTCTTCGTCAGAAAATGTGCCTGTTCCTTTCTGTAATATGTTTTGTCACAGGTTATAAAATATTTAAACAGGTTAGCTCAAGCACATGCATGTACCGGTACATGTTAACATTTTTTATTATTCCAGTTTCATAACTCATTTTCCACCTTGGCCTCAGTGCTTTTCCTTTGTCATTTTTGTAGAAATGTTGGCCTTATTTGCCCGTTACCAGCCGCGGTGTCCTTTGACATGTCCCATTTCTTGAGGCTAAATTGGCAGTGCCCCCCAAAAGTTGAAATTCGAACCCTGCTGTACCGGTAACTTTGTTATAACAAGAGTCGACTGCATGTTTTTAAGTAGGAAAGGAAAGTGATCTTTTTACAAACTTTTCAAGTTTGGATTTACATACATGTAGAATTTCTCTTAATTCCAAAGAGACATTTATGGATAGCAAAACAACAGATTTTAACGAAACAAGAATTTTACTTTAGTTTGTAACAAAGCATCATCTCAGCATCCACAGGCACTGGGCAAAGATTACACTGCTCTAATACAACTAAATAACGCAGAGTATTCAAAATTCTCCGCATCATGTGACCCACCTGCTTCATTTTCCTTGCCGTGGAAACCTTGAAACGATAAATTGGTAGCTTGATGCGTCTGATGGCCCAAGGGTTGGACTGGTGAGTTTTGCTTTTTCCTCTGATGGTCTTTGTAACATTTAGAACACATTCCTTCTGTAGCTGCACTACCATAGAAACCACAGCCATTCCGACACTGGTTAGGTGCCACTTCATCACTTCCTTTGCTACTGTCCATCTTGAAGAGTTTAATGTGGCAACCAGTGTGAACAGATGCCTGATATGTTGTAATCAGAATGAAACAAAACTGATCAAATTAACAGAAAATGTGACAAAGCTACACATACTTACATGTACACATCATGTGCTTATGTCTGCTAACCCTAATGTCATTTTCTGTACATATTTTCCAATTCTGAGGGCAAGATTTCTTGAAAACGCCTGTTCCTGAGAAGTGTTCCTGAAAAAATTGTAACCCTGATGTAACCCTACTGTACAATGCATGTGGACACCTCTGCAAGTCAATTTTGTGTAACATATTCTGTGGCCAATACAATCAAGATTTGTTTTGTTCACAAAGTACCGGTACTTGTCTATACTTCTGCCAAATCCGAACAACGCAATCTTCAATGCAAGAACTCAACAGTGTAAAACATTAAAACATTTAGGAAGATAAAAAATGTAATGTTCTCCAATAATGTACATGTATAGGTACAATTGCAAAATACCCCACCACCCACCTCTCCCAAATGGTAGCCAGCTACGATGTCAAGCTTGACCGCTCACACACTAAACATGCAAAGAGCTGCTCACACATATGCACAGGGCTGCTCACACACAAAATACGCACAGGGCTTAACCTACATACTGCCGGCTACAATGTCGCGCTAATCATAAAGTGCCCATGTTAGAACTGCCCATGTTCGAATTGCCTGTTTTTGAATGGGCGGCCGAAACCATCAAACGGCTGATTAGACTTTCTCCTGTATTCGTGGCTTGGGAAGTTGTTTTTTTGAAAGGGAAATAAAGTTCCACGATTAGACTTCCTCCTACATTCGTGGCTTGGGAAGTTGATTTTTGAAAGGGAAATAAAGTTCCACGATCAGTCTTTCTCCTGTATTCGTGGCTTGGGAAGTTGTTTTTTGAAAGGGAAATAAAGTTCCACGATCAGGATTTTTCTCCTGCATTCGTGGCTTGGGAGTATGTCTTTTGAAAGGGAAATAAAGTTCCATGATGGGACTTTCTCCTATATTCGTGGCTTGAGAAGATGTTTTCCAAAAGGGAAAATAAAGTTCCACGATCAGACTTTCTCCTGTATTCGTGGATTGGGAAGATGTTTTTTAGAAGGGAAATAAAGTTTAATGATCAGATTTTTTCTTGTATTCATGGCTTGGGAAGATTTTTTTGAAAGGGAAATAAAGTTTGATGATCAGATTTTCTCCTGTATTTGTGGCTTGGGAAGATGTTTTTTGAAAGGGAAATAAAGATCCATGAACAGACTTTCTCCCTTATTCGTGGGTTGGGAGGATAAGGGAAGTAAAGTTTGCCCTTCATACTTGCTCCTTGTATTCGTTGCTCAGGAGAATGTTGTTCATGCACACACTGACCTATGTTAAAGTTTGAAATCATTGAAATAAACCTTCATTTTTTTTCCAACCATCCCCATGCATTCAACCTGGCCTTGCTCTCAATAAAAAAAAACATTCACACATCACTGCCTCACTTTTGGACTGCTGCCTTTGCAACATCGTAGCCGGCTACAAGATACTTGGTTTACACTTAATTTTTTTTTCACTGTCCCCATTCATTCCGCGTTGCCTCCTTCTCAGGTAGAACCGCATGCATATTTTTATGCTTACCAACCAATGCCACTGCAATATCGTAGCCGCCTAAGATATACTTGGTTTGGACTTGGCATTTTTCACGCCCTCCCCATACATTCAGCCTACATTCATTGAGCCTCGCATACATGTACCCACATGAAATCCAATTTGATTAGCAGGTGCCCATTTGCTACTTGACCTGTTTGCAACTGCACCCGTTTCATTTTCCAGCTTGGGCTGCGCTGCAACACGGCCACCTCAACATCGTAGTCAACAATTTCAAAGGAGTAACTTTCGAATGGCAGTGTATTCTGCGATAACTCCCATGCATACACGTACACGTACTGGTAGTATCCTACCAACACTGACAGGACTTGATTTTTGGCTAGTATTGCACATCAAGCTAAATGGACAATTGGAAGAATGCAACACTCTTTCTTGAACATGTTAATTATGGTTTTTGCCATGCAAATACACTGTAATGTGCACTATATCATGCACATGTACGTGTCATGTTGAGAAAACATAAGAAAAAAAATTCCCATTTTTCTTCATCAGCTGACTGTGCTCAAAAAAGTGATTTTTGATGTTACACTTTACACTAAGTCTTGAAGTTGAGAGGACAAGTGCCCAAGTCTTGACAATATCCAAAACGGCAAAAGCATGATCAAGCGTTAAATACTGAAGAGAAAATACCTGCCTATGGTGTGAGCTAATACATGTAAATCCAAGAATGTAATTCTTGGTATTTTTGTTCACTACCACATTTGTATACAGCCTCCTGTCATCACAAAATCAAAAATTCAGATAGTCACTGGAAGAAAGGGTCCCTGACGACAAAACTAGTCACACTGTGATGAACAATGAATCATGAAGCCAAAGAGGTCAACGTATTGATATGATTGAGTCTCAACATGATAAAAATTGACATGATCTGTAGAGTAGGTTCAAAATTCTCATTGAAATACTTTACAAAAACAATAAATTTAAACAGCTTTTAACATGTCACAAAGTGAATTCAAAAAGAAATCAAGAGTACAAAGGAACAATACATGTAGGTTACAAACTCGTGAGGCTGTAGCTTTTTTCTCAGAACAGCTGAAATGCCAATACATAACCGATAACATGACTTTGCACTGTACACGACACGTAAAAATGGCGTCGTTGTAACTTGAAAACAACACTAAAAACCACTTTTAAACATCAAATTATTATTAAATACATGCAGTTTCAGAAAAACCTACCAGTCAAATGTATTGCCTCGTAGAATTCGACAAATTTATAATTAAAATCCACTGGGAAAGATTCAAAATGGCGAAAATTACGATGATGAACCTGCTTCCTACTCTTCGTTGTTTCTGCTGAATGACCAGAGAATGACCGTCGGTGTCTAGTCACGTGAATCAACTGGGGTAGCTGATTGGTGAGACCGAAGAAGGATCAGGAAACCTTTAATGACGTCATCGAGTTGACTCCCTTTGGTCTGGTTACAAACCCCCCAAATTGTACATAAAAGAACTGGGAAACAATGTGCAGCTCAGACTAGTAGTGATAAACACCGGATGTCATTTTGTTTACAATTACAAACAACATGAAACCGTAGACCAATGATGAAACAGGGCAGCTACAGAGGACAAAGACAGCTAATGCCTACAGGAAGCCCATGGAGAAAGTGGAAGACAGATGACTGGTTATCCTCAATAATATCTGATCACGGGCGTCAGCAGCGGTGGTGGGGATTGGGGAGACATGCCCCCGGTTATCTGGGGGATATAATTGTTCCCCCACACTTTTATATAAAATTTGGAGACAGATAATTTGAGAATGAAATAAGTATTGTACAAGGGTTTGCTAAACAAACACCAAAACAAACAAAAGCAAACTAACACCCAAACGAACAAATTTTAAAATCGGAATTTCTGCAAGCAAGTAAAGCGAAATTCGAAAAACCTGAAAATCTGCTGGCACAAAAAAATGAAAAATTTGGGTTGTGCACTTTTGGTGCTCTATGATCCATCGCTAGGGTTCGTCACATACATGTGTGATACATGTACTGCACATTTATGTATGTACGAGTACATCAGTTCTGCGTGGGGCCAATTTCATAGAGCACAAAATTTGCTTTAGCGTGAAAAAGCCTTGCTTGACAAATCAGGTTAACAGCCAAAACTCCATCACAGTCCATGTGATGTATATTTTTTTGGAATGATATTCACCTGCCTTTTGGTTAGCATGACAATCACCTTGATTTTGAGCTGGTAAAGTTTGTTTTTAGCAATTTTTTTTGTGCTTGAGTAAATTTTGTGCTTAAGCAGTTCTATGATATTGGCCCCTGTGATTTTAACGAAGAATTTTCATTTTTAAGCCTGACGTACGTAAGAGGGCGCTAAAACCGGCATGGCATGGTATATTGCTGTTGCTGGTTTGTTAGCACTTTCCCTACGTTTACTTGGACTTGACAGGCCTACTACGCAGATTCCTAGACTGAAGAGCTCGTCCAGTGACCGTCCGTGTCGGGGGGGGGCAGCTCCTTTGAAACAGTGACTGCTTGGGATTGAAACTGCCACCATCTCAAAAGCGCCCGCCGATTTATTAGATAAATAAAAGTGGGGGTGGGGGCACATGTATGTTATACATGTACTACCATCCCCACTTTTTAAGGTTGGGGGATATGCTATTGAATCATACCCCCACATTTTGTGGTGAGCCAAAAAATTGAACTAAGCGGGTTGTGAAGAATTTTTTCAGACTTCCATCGACTAAAATGCGTTCACTGAGTATCACTCAAAATAAGGAAAACATTAACAAAAAGCCATAAATATGCCCTTCTGAATACAAATTATGTACATCAATATCACGAACATCGAACTATCTCGTGTCATTATATGGTCCCCCCAGCTTTCCAAATTTTCATGGACGGTGCAACTTCATCTCCCCCCTTTCCCTATAACCCCCCTCCATGTACATATGTCAGATTTTGGAAGAAAATCCATCAAATGCACAGAGCTATATACCACTCCTGAACTGACGTTTGGACTTTCATAAAACAAAACAAGCTTTCCCCGTACTAGGTTAATTGTTTGACGGTAACGTAGACAATGAAATCTACGTCGTCTCATTCGTGGATCATAGCGGACTCGCATTGAACAATAATGGAGGTAGAATACACAGGCAAGCAGCACTTCAACGGTATGCGGGGGGGTCGAATAGACGTTGGCGGGGTATTAGTTTGAACATGAAAGCGTCACTATTTTAGTAGGAACAAGGTATACCCTCATGGGGGTCTGCGGATCCTTTTATGTATTAAAACAAAAATACAATTTTTTAGAAAATAGGAAAAAATACGAAAGACCAATTGTACCGAAATCCGCTCTTAAGAGATTTTTTCACGTTTATTTTTTATGAGATATATACACCGACATGAAAATATAAACAAACATCGTCTCTATCTCTGCTCTTGATAAGCAAGTTTATTGGACAGGGACAAGGTCAAGGACGCAGAGACGACGGGTGCTTTGACGTTGTCCTTTACTTCCATCAAAAGCCCACTGACAAGTCGGGTAACCTGTCTGGTATACATCACATGCACATGTACGTGTTTTTTTGTACAACAGTGATGCAAATATTAAATGTTGTGAGACCTGCTAGTTGTTAACTGTTCTTTTATGCGGGCTGTTCGTCTCAGTGGGTATTGTGTAAGTTAATTAAATGTAAGTAGAGTCTTGATTCTATTCTTGCCAAGTTGATGCTTTTGTGTGCCATGATACAGTTGATGCAAAGAACGGTAAAGGCCTAGTATTAACGGTCTATTCCTTGCTCTAGTACTAGCTGACTAGTAGTAGGCCTACATGTAGTAGGCATTTGGTAAATTACACTTTTGCACTGCATGCTGCCAAGCTATAACGTCCTCTCTACACGTTATGCAGGGAGACAGTGGCACAGGCTTCCCAGAATCTCTCCGTTTTCCAGATCCAGATCACTAGCAGAAATCAAATGAACTTTCACCAAACAGCCCCCAAAGTTTTTGTTACAATAAAAAGCCACAGATAGGCCCTTCTGATGTACATACATGTAAGAGATGCTGCATACGTACAACAGATACTGCAGATATACATCAATGTCATGAACATTGACCTTTTACAGTGTCTAATGGTGTTATCCCCCACCTCACCTTTCAATTTTTTGGGCCTGGTAAGTCTTACACCTCCACCTTGCCCCATTCCCTCCCCCACTACCGGCAAGATTTAGGTAGATGGAGGAATTCATCCATACAGGCCTTAACTGACTGTCCAAATAACGCAAATAGGTTGGTAATTTCGAACAACACAAATCAAATCATTTTAAAATAAAAATGTGGAATATTGGCTCAAACTTGGAGACGGTTTTGAAGCGTCGTATGTCTGTTCGCGAGCTCATTATTAATATTTTGTGATCCCATGGCTTCTTATTTTCTACAATAAGACGTGCCATAATCACGAGGGATCATAGAATTATTTATATAAATCCCAAATTTGGGATTGATGTTTCCGGTTCAGAGTATTTCTTTCACAAAAAGCCCCACAATGTGGGCCTATTTTGGATAGAGACAGGCGGCTACATTCATATGAGCGCATAGTTTTACTGCTATTAGGGGGGTATCTTCGGGAAAAGGCAAATAAAAAAGTTCATAAAATTGAAACGAAAAGTGATCGATCTGTCCATAATCTTGAATTTCCAACGAAAAAATGAAGGCCAACCTCTTCACGAGGTTCAAGAGTCAGCGCTACATATATTTCGGTCTACGGGTGCGTATTTGGTGTAATGCAACCATAAGACTCAGTGGGTCCGAGTTGACTCAAGGTGGGTCTGAAACAGCGTGGGTCCGAGTTGGCGTTGGTCCGAGTTGGTTGTGGGTCCGAGATGGTCGTGGGTCCGAGTTAGTATTGGGTCCGAGTTGGCGTGGGTCCGAGTTGGTCCTGGGTCCGAGTTGGCATGGGTCTGAGTTGGAATG